TAAAGAAGGTTGAAAATTTTTGCGGTTGTCTTACGCCACAGAGACGCTATAATTCTAATAAAAAATATTCCTATTTAAATTTTAACCTTTGGAATAATAGCCGTGCACATTACATTATACAAGATGCAGATCAGCCCACAGCCTCTCACATCTCCACCGCGACAAGACAAGTGCGGGCGTCTTACGAAACCATCCACAATTATGATATCACTGATTTTCGTATTTTTCCTCTAAGATCGCATGTACCGATGTAAATAAACAGTGTTGTTTTATCGGATATGGTATCCAGTGAGACAAGTGAGATGGATAGACGGTGACTAATGGAGCCCGAAAAAAAATCCACCTTCAGATTGTTGAACCGTTGATCATCAGTCAAGGCGTCTAGGGTCTCCGAGTCATTGCAAAATCACCTTTCTCTCGTATCTCTGTAGTCCAGGCTGTCAACAATATCGTGTGCTTACACCTACAACCCCATTGTTCGTATGATGTTTCATAGTGAAGCGATGAGTCGCGAGGTGTTTGGGCGCGTGGCACCCACCAAATCGGAGGTGCGCCAGTGACAATGGTGCCTGGGGCTTGTTTACTCTTCAATGGACTAATCAGGGACTCAACTTTGTCTACAAACAATCAATGATTGAATAATTGCATGACAACATTGTTCGTAATATACGTGGAGGAAACAGAATGGGAGAAATTGTAGATGCGAATGATTTCCTACCCGACTGCGGTAGGACCGCAGACCGCCACAAGACCGCCGAACAATTGCAGCGGTCATAGACCTGTAATTAACTTAATTTCATGCTGAAGATGGTAAAAGGAACAGAAATCTCCAACGGTCGCGCGGCGGCTTTCCGGCGGTTCTTCAACGGTTGAGGAACGGTCTCGCAACGGTCGTAAACTTGCATCACAACGGCTTAAATTCCCAACTGACCGCCACAAAACTGCCCGATTGCAGCGGTCATAGACTTGTGATGAGATTAATTCGATACTGAAGAGGATGGAAGGAACAGAACTCTCCAACGGTCGCGTGGCGGTTTTCCGGCGGTTCTTCAACGGTTGGGGAGCGGTCTCGCAACGATTGTAATCGTGTACCACAACCACTTGAATATTTAAATGATTGCATTATAAGTTTAAGACCAGCGCAAGACCGCTGCTCAACCGCTGGAGAACCGCCACACGTTTATGTGCACAGCATCTCGTTAAATCTGAAATTCCCAACATAATTAGAGATTCTAGTAGACAAACAACTAATTGAGGCTCAACCCACTTGACTTACGATCAATCAAAAAATACATACAAATCAATTAGCGCGCGGCATAACGAAACATTTCCCCAAATTCCAATAAAAAACAAGCGAGGAATTAGTGAACCCAGAGAGTCAGGCCCTAACCTCCAGAATCTATCGCTGGAGTGGATCGGGGAAATGTTAATGAGCCCAGACTACCGGATTCCCTCCGTTAGAACTCGTTTCGGAGGGGATGGACGACAGATTCTATCTATCTGCCCCCATCGAGCGTCTTAATTATCATGTCTAGTGCGTCACATTTAAAATTCAACAGTTGGCACACCTTCCAAGGTCCAAGGGCCTTCTGGAACCGCCCGTCACGCAAAATTTCAAACTCAAATGAAAAATAAAATAAACAGAATTGACGAATTAATTGATTGAATGGATGGGACAGAGCAAAATTCTGGATAATTCGAATTGTCGATAATGTTTGTAACATCTCAGGGGTCTGGAGTTGAGCGGACGATTAAATAAATGCATTTCACCAACTGAAGAGATGCAGCCAATGGGAGAAACGGAGGGTGTAGATGCCGATAAGAAGCAACGGTGCCTCGCGCGTTTCTTATTTATGCTCCTACGAGGTGTGGCGTTTCGTATTATTAAAATCCATCGGCTTATCGTGCTTCCGTCCAACAGCATCACCAGCGGCACCACTTCAACCGTTCATGCTGAATAAAACCGAAGTTGACTTTTCCATTCAAAATAATCTCACTTCACATATCCATCCAACTTCACCGACTCGTCCAATAAAACCGAAATGTTGAGGCCTAATGAGCTCACTTAAAAATTCAACTTGAAAATTGGTCGCATGTTTCTCTGAATAATGCACAAGCGACCATAATTCCTTTAATTTAACACGCGACGGGATCGTTCGAGTGAATTTTATTTAATTCCATTCGTGAATTAACCGAGAGTGCAGTAACGTGTTTTTTCCCCAGCGAGAAAATACATCTTGTTACCTTTTGGAAATTCGGCGCTTGGAGTCGCCCACGTGGACTGGCCATTTTGGAAAAAAGTCCTCGTGGACCACCTCGACGTACCAAAATATAAGACGCTGTGCGGCAGGAGAGGGACTATCGTGTACATTCGTGCGCATCGAGATACCACGGTTTTTCGAATCGAATATACTCATCCCTCACACGTCGCAGACTCGGAAATAGTGGATGTATTTTTGGGGCTACACGTGGGCACTATATCGCACTTGTTTATTATCTATTCGTGGGGAGCAGGCTTTCACGTTCTATCGTTGGGTTTCTTTTTCAAGGAAAAAATTGTTTGTCAAATCGAGTGCACGCTGTCGCAGGAATTCTTTCTTGAAGATTTGATGCATCTGCTTTATTGGCTTGGTTCGGGGAGGAAAGTCGTGCAGCGAAGCTGTTTCCGCGATTTAGAAATTTCTTGGGATATTGATAGTCAAGACTGGGGAAAATACGAGTGATGAAAGATATTTTATTTGATGGATCAATTTTAATTTCAAATTCAATGAAATCAACCCTTTTTTTTCTATGGTGGATTTTATTTCATGGGAGAAGATGAGAAAAATTTAGTGCGAGATAATCAGCAGGAAAATAAAAAATTCCATTTTTCAATGTTTTCAAATTAATTAAAAAATGGAATTATTTTTTCGAATAGTGAATTCAATAGAATAGATTAACTAAATGACAAAAATTAAGGATTAGAGATTGCAAATTTCATCTGATTTTATTACGCGCGAAATTAATTGAATAATAATAATGATCCAAAAATTTGAGATTAAGTTTATTTGTCACAAGTAAATTTCATGTTGGTAAAAATAAAATGTTGAAAAAAAGTTATGGAAACCCCATGAAATTGAATCGAAATATGTTTCTCGGAAGACAGTGAAGAAAATTGCCTCCACCTGTCACCACGTCTTGGCCTTTTGTGACTCTCGACGAGTGTATATCCTAGTAAGGAATAGTAGCCGCAGGTACAGGAAGAGGCCGACGACCTCCGATAGAAGCCGAGTTGGGTTATAAACCGCAGAATATCGTCCCATGATTTTCCGAGACGACTTTCGTCTCGTCCTTCTGGCATCAACCGCTCTCTTTCAACCGTCAAAATCCCTGGCGCAGGGCAATTCTCGTGTGAAAAACGGGGGAGACGGCTGGAGGAGTGAGGAATCACCCCCATACGTCATACCCATGGATTTCCCGGTAATATCTTTTCTGAATGCTCACACGTACCGATTGGCTGTACGGCAGATCCCACCTTCCGCCTGCACTAGGTCTTATTATAGGAGCCACGGCATCTACTGCATACTGATGGCTATCGATCTCTCGGGGAAGTCGATCGAACTGATGTAGGAGCTAAAGTGGACATCACGCACTGGAATTCGCTTCCTTTAACGCACTTACTCCAATTATTGTTGGTATTTTTCAGCGAGAATTCAACAGAAACAGCGCTGGACAATAATTAGAGTGGAAGAAATCGTGAAATTTCAGATTTCACTGACAATTCAATAAAATTCCAAATTTTTGTGCGGCAGGAAGAGGAAAACTCCCCAACTTAATTAAATTTTCAATAAATTTTATCCATTTTTTGCAAATATTTTCAACATTGAAACAAAACGAAGAAATTTGCGAAGTGATCCAAAAGGGCAACAAATTCCGGAAAATCCTATTAAATAATAAATCCTCGAATAAATTCTCGAAGCTCTTGGACTGAAGGTGGATGGCTCATTTCGAGTGCCAAATAAAGTATTTTTAGTGTTCGTGTAGACCATATTTACCCATTAAACATCCGTAAAACACTTCAAAAGCCCAAGGATGCCGGAAAAATTTATAAACTCCGCATTTATTAATTATGAATTAAGATATTCCCCTGGGTATTTCAATATTTTAAGAGCCCAATGCTCATTAAAATATACTCCAGTGACACTAACTCCCCTTAATTAGCCCGGGCAGCATCGAAAATTAGCCGTTAGTCTGTGTACAAGCGTTATAAACATATTTTTTTTTTTTTTGGTCAACGCGATACTTGTACGAACATGTCTCGGTTGATTATCGTCGATACTGGTACGATCCTTTCGCAAGTTTGAGTCACCGAAAAAGGTGGCGAAACTCGAGAGAGTTTTAACGGTGATTCCCAGGGTCGTCCGATTCTCCAAATGATGCACTCCCGAGTCATGCCCTTATTGGTCATGACGAGAACGAGAGAAATGGGGAGATGATATTCTCCTCGGGCAATTGTCTTCTCTCAAAATGGAATAGTGAATGACGATGGGTTAGAATACTCTGCGATCAATCATCATCACGAGGTCCAAGCGGATCTTATCATCCGTAACTAATTGCGATGAGCAGCGGTTGGACTTGCAAACTCGAGAGAATTAAGGCAGTCAGACGGTTATCTGTTTTATAAAACACTAATTTGTGATTTAATGAGGGGAATTAATTGCTGTTTTTAGGCTTCAAATTGAATTTAAATGATATGAAATGAAGGGGTAGGGTTACTGTGATTATTATGCAGATTTTATACTCCATTTAAAAAAATATATGAATAAATTGATAAATAAAAATGGAAGGAAATGAATAAAAGTGAATTGAGATGACCAAATAAAAATTAAAAATTATAATACACAAGTATGATAAGAATATATTTATTGACAATGATATTGGTGAATGAACAGGTGTGTTTTGGAATAATTTATAATGATAATTTCATTTAATTACCAATTTCATCTCACTTTTTTTTTTAGAAGGAATACTCAACTGAGGGCCACAATGATGTGGCTGCATGTCATTCTGATCTTGAAAGTGCTGGCACTGACAGCGGCCACCAGGGACTTTCGTCACATCTCCTACGAAGGTAAGAAGTGAATGATGTTTTTTTTAGTCGAGTGTTTGCCAGCGAATGACTTAGATTTTTACTTTCCCTCTATTCTGGGCCCAGTAAGAATGAACTCCTGATGATTTGATTGATGACATTTGAATTCACTCTGTGTATTTGATAATCCCGACGATAATGAGTGCGACAGAAATCTCTGAAAGTGATTTCAACATCACAATTAGATCAGTCCATCGTCCTCCATCAATCATTCCGGCTTTCCTCGTTCACTTTGCTCATTATCTTCCACTTAAAACATGAAGGATCCGTGCATGCGTGAGTAGGTGAGAAATAGTCGTCGATCAAATGTCCAGCATCTCTCGGGTTACCGTTGGCGTTCCACTTTGAAAAAAACCGGAACAGCAAGTTTTCTACAGCTACTACATCTTCTTTAAGTCTGACCATTAGTTTTCATCATCGGCTTTTGCGAGACGATGGAAAAATGAGGGGAGTACATGTGACCGCTCCCACGGAATCCCACTCCCTACGTATTAAATGGATAGATTGAACTATTTGGTTCATCGTGTTTATGGGTTTTTTTATTTTCTTGGGGATCTCTGCAATTGCGGTTGAAGTGCCGCGGAAAATTGATGGGGATCTACATGGAGAGAAATTTCTATTAATATTTATTCCGAGGGTCTAGGCAGCGTGCAGCATACTTCGTTGTTGGAATAGAAATTGAAATTTCATTGATAATTTAGTGGTAATTTTTAGAAGCGTGATGTTGAATTTTCTTTGGGGGGGGGGGGAATAATTGAATTTCACATTTTATTCATTTTCTGTTGGAAGGAACTATAAAATGAATAAAAGACTTAATTTTCAGTTCAATTTTTCCGTGAGAATGCGATGAAATCGGGGAAAAATGGAAAATTCATGTCATTCTGTTTCCAAATATTCATGTTCTGTTGAAAAATCAATCAAGTTGTACAATTAGCCGTTTCCATTTATTCTTTCATTAAATTCCGAGTTTTTAATGAAAATTAATTAAAATTCCACTGGAACTATCACTTGATAAAATTTTCATCAAAAGTCCAGTGAAAATTGCAATATTTTGAGTGAAAATTTCACAAAATTATTGTCATTTAATTATATCGTAAAATTACGAATCATTCAATTTTCAAATCAAATTGCGTGAGGAAAAAATTAAGTTCCAACATTCTCAGCATTGAAATTCCTAAATCTTCTAAAAATCTTCATTTTCTTCGAATGGAGACATCATCAAGCCCCCCGCCTGCCTCATTCCCCGTCGTTCCTCAAAACTATCTCATAAACACTGCACCGCAGGGTGCATTCAAAAATTTTCCACCTCTCCCTGCATAATTAACAATTTCCACGAGAAAAAGGATTCGATACCCGAGTGAAAGCCCCTGAAAATCGACGAGAAAAATAATGAATTCAAGCACACGACTCATAAAGTATCACCCCATCAGAATTAATTCCACCTCATCATGAGGTATAATCGCCCCGCGCCATGATTAATCCCCTCAATTACCATAACTTCCAATTAACCGAAAATTGTATATCCCCGATGCACTTTATCCCGAAAAAAAAATTCCCCTCATTACTCTCATTTTCCAGTCTTCCCAATGATAAACAGTTTCATCAGAGAAAGCGGATAAATCCTGAATCATGCTTTCATGCATACGGGGCGTCGAGATAATGCCGATTTGTCTGTTATTTTTTTCCTTTTTATCGAAAAAATAATCGAGTGCGCATTAACATATTGATGAAGATAATTCAAGTACGAGTGGTACTGCCACGATTGTACGATGGCCTCTTGCCGATCTCGGTCTCGACTCTAATACAATATAATGCTCCACTATTTTTTCATACCACAATTTTATCGTACGAATGCAGAGAGGGATCTCGAGTACTCCGTGACGTTGGTAACATTCGATAATCATCATTGGCTAAACCCGAGGGCTTTTCCCCGGGTCACGTCCAATTCTTGTCCTGCATTATATCCTTTCGTTCTAAATCTGAGGTTATTAAAAGCTGTCTCGAGTGCCGATCGTTTACGATATCATCGTGGTTTAAACTCAGCACGGTATTATTATCGCACGCCTCGAAATCACCGAGCTCTACTTCCGTATTGGAATGGGTATCCATTGCAATCGAGTGATTATCATGAATTGGTTGAGTTGAAAATAGGGCAGTTGATGGAATGGATGTACATGGAGTTCCCGAGTTTCTGATTTTAATTTCATTACATGAGTATTTCACGGCTAAAAACATTATTTTTATGTGATTATTTTTTTCAATCGTTGATTGTTTCGAGATTACTATCTTCTTTCAAAGAAAACAAATGATGATTTTTCATTCAGAAAACCGTGAAAGCGTGATTGAACATTTGTGGAATTTTCTCAGTTCAAGAATATATTTGCGTCAGATTCGACGTTTTGCTCACTTCACTCGCCGCCCACGAGGAAGCCACGCCCCCTCGCTCGCTTCGCTCTCCAATCCCAAGGGGCTGCGTCCCCCCATCTTCTTGGGTATGTTTAGGCATTCGTATTATATAGAAAAAAATTGATAGAATCATTTACCTCCTTTGAAAAATCGAGATTTTTATTATTAACAAAAGGCTCCAACGAAAGCCTCTTGTCATGAGACTCAACCGTTCATTTTTCAATTTATTCACATATAATAGTATGAGATGTATGAACATATTAGAGAAGTAGAGATAATAATTCATTCTCAATGGCATCATGAGGGTCACAGATAAGAGAATCAGGGACGTCTCCTGAATTTTTTAATAATATTAATTAATCCTCTTCCACATTCGGATAGCAATATTTTCCCACCACCCACAACTATTCCCACTATCATTTTATTTTTTCATCTGTACGTGGATACACCGGAGAGACCGAGTTTTCCAGGTGATTACATATGCCGAGTACGTGGCCAAGGTATTCTCGATATACACCGGTTAGCACTGAGCCCCGGTTACTCGTCGTGTTTATCTTTAAAGGAAACACTGGTCGGTAGCTTTTGGATACAAGCATTATGGTTTGTCCCTTTTGTCCCCGCGGGCTTTTATACGCGTCTGTCTAATTTATCGACATGCACAATCGTTAAAGTTGAATTATGGCCAAACGGTACTTTTAACATCAATGTGCCCCCCTCCCTCCCCTCACTCTCCTCCTGTCCTGGGATTATTTGAATTCAAATATTTCAGGGTCATTGATGCTAGTTTATTGGCGATTGGATCATTCCAGTGGTTAACATTCCTCTGTCGGGTCTATTTTGAGGTTAAGGTGATTGCGAATTTCTCTGGGATGTAATTGCGATGGGACGATTGCTTGTCGCCGGTGGCGCGTGAACAGAGTGATACAAATGACGTGTTATCGGTAATTATGTTGTTGTAAGTGTCACTTGTTGGGTAACACCTTGGTGATATTATTGCGTCAATCGTCGATTGGGAATAGGGTAATTCAGTAGCGAAGGGTGATGAACCGGTTTTTATCGTTAATGATTGGAGATCGGCAATGAAATTCAATAATTTTTTTTTTATAAGTAGGGGAGGTTGGGTGAAACGGACACTTTTGGCTTTTTTTAAACATGTTAATGAGGGGTTGAAATGTTGATAAAATTTAATAATTTTTTTCAATATAAAGAACAATTCTTTTCCTTTGTGACGAGTCTAATCTGAGCCCAATTGACCAATTTGTTTCTGAGTTATGAATAATTTTAAAAAAGTCTAAAGTGTCCGTTTTACCCCACTCTCCCCTATTTTTGTGGAGTCTGAAATAAAACACGATTTTTTCAGATCGTATCGTTTGATGGGGAAATTCTATTGAAAATTGTATTAATTTTTAGCGGATTTTATTAAAGGATTCCGCAACTTTATTTTTTTTTCGTTGGAAATGTACAATATTATTCTATAGAAAATATCTCAATAGAATAAATTGTCCAGAGAATTCGAATTCGCAAGGTTTTCTATGAAAATCTTTCTGGGCAATTGATTTGTCTGAAAAAATTATTTCTGCGATGTGAAGTAATCTTTCATCTCAATGTAGAGACCAATAAACTCCGTAAAGTATGGAGTATGAAATGGAAAAGAATTTCTCTCCATGTGCGTAACAATTACAAACAACAGCAGTGAGAGAAATAATTTGAAGAATAATTCTTCATACCCAACAAAAAGTGATTGGAGAGTTGTATTGCACTTGAACAGCTTCACCTAAAAGACGTACGTCAAGTGGGAGTGGCCCGTAGTCAACGCATATAGCACGCATGTGAACGAGACCGAGAGGCCCACGACAGATGGGCCGTAAATCTCGCGATCCTGTCGTAAATCAAGTGTATATTTTCCTCGCATTCGAGGGCTCACGTGGAGATTCTCCGAAGACTACCCGATATACGCCTTTGTATCGACACTGACTAGGGCCTGACTAGGCCGCGACTAGGCGTGACTGAAACGCGTCTCGGGGCGTTGGAAAATTTTTCACGCTCTGGCCCCAGAAACTTGTCCGATCGAGGAGAGTGAGAGAGATGGGCCACTCAATTTTTGAGGAGCGATGGCTTTAGTTTTTCGATGGCTAGTTGAATCCGATGGGAGAATTGAAGCTGTACGTGGGCGAATCGACGGCACGCGCCTCTTACGTCCCGATTGGGCAGCACTGAACGAATAGTACCGGTAGAGCGACCCACGTTCACCGCATATAACCGTCTGCACGTATAAATTTCACTTACTGCTTATATTTTCACTCATCCTTTTTCTTGTTATCATCTCCACCTCCACGTGCGCTGGATACGCGTGGCACAACGGGCGGTATAATACCACGAGATTCATCCCAGTGAATATTCATGTTTATGGGACGGGATGCGTACTGGGGTGTTATGTTTGCATTATGCGGGATTTTCTGGATATCAGTTTTATTCATTTATTTATTCATTTTTTTATTGGATGACTCAACAGCTGTGGCTTAAATCACTGTAGGTAAATGTGTTTGGCTGGAATTTTCAGGACATTTCGAAGGGAATGCACTCTTGAATATCTGTTTTATTCATTTATTCATTCAGTTTTTTATTGGAGGAGCCAACAGCTGTCGGCAATTATGAAGTTTCAGTACACTTCTTGAATTTTTCTTCGACAATCTTCAAAAATTTTTCTTCGACATTTCTGGTGCCTCCGAGGGTTTCATTGGCATTAGAGGGGCCAATAAATGCGGAATTAACATTCACTTGACGAAAAAATTCGATTTTGGCGAAAGTCGACTTTCCCCCGGGAAAAACGGAAAATCTGACCCTTTGAAAATTTGAAAAAAAAAACTTTTTCAGTTTTCACTTTTTCCACATACTTTTGAGAGTTCTGAATAGCCCGTCGCTTAAATAGTTGGAATCAACGTTCACCCGGCTAAAAAATTCGATTTTGGCGAAAGTCGACTTTCCCCCTGGAAAAATCCAAGATCTGACACTTTGGCTCCGGGTGAAAAAAATACATTCTGCAACCCTCTCCCTTTGTTGGGTACAAATTCCAACCCTCGGCGTACATGCCTTCCCCCTCCACCCCCTCGTGAAATCCCGAGGTCTAGGTAATACACTGGTATCATTACACTGGTAAATTTCTTTGTCTGAAATTTTCAGTCTACTTCTTGTCTTGATAATTTTCGTCATATTATAATTCCACTGATATTTCAGTTGAACGCCTCCATGAAAATTAATCAAGGCCTCAAAAATTGAAGCGAATATACGCTTCAGTCATCAATTAATGGAAATTTCAGTGAAGTGGATAATCCTCATCTTCCAATTTTTCAAAAATCGGAATTCCGGTGAATTTAATGTCACAAAACCTATGCGTCGTACCTCTTCCTGCAAAAACACGTGTGTGCATATATTATTTCCACTTATAACCGATGGTTTTCACTCAGAATTCCCCGAAAACATTGACAACTTCATTCACAACAGAAGAAAACTACCGCCACAAATTGGGAATGTAAGAATTAGTGAGTAGTGTACACAGTACTCGAACGAGTGAGTAGGTAATGAAGTGAATTTTCCACACGTGTGCACTATCAGAATAGGAATTTTTCTGTTAGTCATTCCTAATGAGATTTTCAGCATCACTGATCACTGTCAACTCTTCATAGTTGCGGATTTAAAGACTTCACTATCTTTGCCCACTTCATAATTAAGAGAAATGAGGGGGGGTTCAAGGTATAAGAATGGTTGAAAAATTTTCTGAGGCTATCACTTCCAAGATGAGGTTCTACGCGGTACTAGCTGCTCTCGCACTTGTCGTAATCAGCCACGTAAGTGTGGAGTTTTTTATTCTCCTGGTCGGAAGTGCCTATCGTCACGAATTACTTAGTCCCATCTGTTTTGAAAGGCTGAGGCGAATGAGGCAGTCAACTCGGTCCAGGATACCATCGCAGATACCAGGAGAATTCTTGAGGAATACAGGCTTCACTTGAAGAATATCCAGCGTTATTTCATAGATCTTTACCAATTCAGGAAGGAAAACGCCACCAGTGTTGCTGATTCTAGTGTACAGGAACTGCAAGTGAGTTTTGAGACTGTATTTACTCACGTTTGATGACTGCGGTGAATTATTTAGTGATGATTTATTATTTTGAATCGTCATCGTCGAGAATTTTCAGAGGAGAATGGAATGGAAAAGCATAAAGTGGTATAAAATGTCTTCCTGTAATTCTTCGCAAGTGATCTCTAATAATCCCTCAGGATATTCGGAATCTATTGACGAATTAGTCAAATATCAACAGGAACAAAAATATATTTCTGTCAGGAACTCCCTGGCCGTTGAGTAATTTCTAAAACAAAATTTTCGTGAAATTTTGAATTGAAATGCATTTTTTTACGAGAATTATTGCATTTTTCATTAGAGTTTTAGAAGAAGGTTGTAGTTTCTTGGATAATTTAGGAGGAAGTTTCAGGAGAGTGACATTGAATTCAATTTAGGCGAAAACAATAATGAAATTTCAAATTTGATAGAAAATTTAGTGAAATTCAAGTTTTATGGAATAATTTATCTAAAATTTAGAGTGCCCATTGGTTTTTTCTTTAAATTGTGAATTTTAGGATTATACCGGAAATTTTAGGCAGAAATTTTCAACAGTAACAGAAACAGTATCGTAACAGTATCGTTTGGTTCCCCCCAAACGATAATTATTCAATTTTTCGCCCATAATTTCAAGCCCAATTTCGAAGCAGCTGAGGAACTAGGAAAAGACGCAAATAAATGCCGCAAACCATTGAATGTAGTAGTCCAACGAGCCCTGGAAACCCACATGACGAGAACAAACCTGTGTGAAGACGCAAATCTGCCCAACTTCTCAGCCCTGCGGCGTCTAGTTGGCGAGTTGCTGAACGTGAGTGAATTATTTACGAAAAAATGTCATCAAGATTCAGTCAAACATCGAGGTGTTTCCATTCCCATAGAAAGGAGATCAGTTACAGTCACAAGTTCAGAGGAATGTTGAAGGTTGTAAGAATGAGACGAACTACGATGGATGTCTCGCTGAGAGGACAAACTCACTCAAGGCTTCCGTGCTAATCTGGAAATCAGAGGTGACGCATATGAGAAGCAAGGAGGCCACAGACACCGCTACAGCCAAAAGACAAATGCCTTTATGCTTGAGAGCGTCATTCACGAGATTTACACTGCAGTTGAACGCTGTCAACCAAATCGTCAGACTGTGCATCAATGCGCTTGTGGAAGTGTCTCCTTGAGTGCTACTGAAAAATCCAGAAAACTCAGACTTTTCTTGTCGAGTGGAGCTTTTTAATTTGAAAGTTAATTTCTCAAGTTGCTAAAAGAATTGATGTTATTTTTAATTTCTCGCATTACTATTTATCGGTGCATAAACTATCTATATTGCATTTAAGGATAAAAATTTGTCAATTTTGTCAAATGTTTTCTAACGGTTCAATATCGAGACTCAAATTCAGAACCTGTGACGTTTGAATAATATAATCGTTTTTAAATTTAGGGTCAAATGGGGCAAAAGTAGACGCATTTTATTCATCTACTATTCAAGTCATGTAAGTGGCCTCGGCTCTTCGACTGTTACCCCCCAATAAATAAACAAATAAATGAATACACCAATAAATAAATGAATAAATAACAAATAAATAAAGGTCTCATGGGGTAATTAAACTAAAATTCCCAGTTTCCATGAATTATTTCATAAAATAGTGAATTTTCAATGTCTTAATTCCAATTTTCCAGTGCCAGCCCTAGATAAAAATTTTCCACAATGAAATCACGTCCCGACGTCAATTTTTTTCATTCCCAACCTTTCCAAGATCGACTCTTCACACGTGACTTCACGGAAGCGCTCCGATTCCGCGTGCCGGAAGTTCCACTGTGTTTTCTTCTGACACTTCAGGTGCTTGTAAAAGGAAAAGAGGAAAACCCTCGAGATCTTTCGCTGGCGGAATTGAACGAACTCGGTTTTAATCATCCTCAAGAGCATCTTGAGAGCCACTGACGGAAATAAATTCGCCTCGATCCGTCCCTTAAATTCGTACGTCCGCTTAAAAGGCGTCTGATACCCCCCGAAAAACCGAAAACCCATTTGACAACACCTCTCACGTACTCCTTATACGGAATTCCGTTGGCTCGTAGCTATAAAATCACCATAAAATCAGGCCCCCTCGTTCATGATTTGTAAACGAAGCTCTCGGTAATGCGCTATTTTTATTTATATATTTTTACCCATTTTATGCATCCCAGGCGTCAGTCTGAGACATAAGTTAGCGCGTTTCGTTAAAAGAATTCCCGGCCGAGTACTTGGGCAGAATTTATTCGGTGGAAAGTGAGTCTCAACAAACCGTAAATAAAGTCTCATCTTATTTCGTTACTGTTTGCCCCCTCTGGGGGATGGTGCTGCAGTGGGTGTTGAAAAAACGTGTTCTCGAGAGGTTGAAGAACATACTTGGAGCATAAAAGGCGTGTCCAGATTGTAGAGCAAAAAGAAGACGTTTAAGATCTACCCGTATGCAAAATATTTTTTGGTTCACGAAGAGTTCTTTTGTTCGATCCCAGCGAGAGATAAAAAAAAACAATAGAGAAATATATCTTCCATGTTTTTATTATTTCCAGCGGGACATTTTGACATTTATATTTCCCTTTCAGAGCAAATATTCGTGTAGGAGAGATTCTTCACAATTTTTAATGGTCAAAATGAGACTTTTGAAGCATTAAAATACTTGGAAATTTATCACGCTGGTTAATGCCTCTCTCGGCTCTTCTCCATCACCTCTTCCTTGTTCTCTCTTCTCTGAAATGCGAATATTCGCTGTGGGCTGGGGGAATCCAGTAATTAAGGCAATGAAATAACCCGGAGAATGCCAATTATCACGTCAATCCAATTGTATACAGATGAAAATCGAGAATAACACTCCCTATTTTGGTTTTCAATGGTAGCTAAATGCTCGGTTTATCTTGGGAATAGTCCAAGTGCTATTCCCATTTCAGAATCCGGCAATTAGCCGATCCAATTATCGCGTCAATCTGCAGGGAGGAGGGTCCTCCAAGGCGGTGCCTCTTGTATTCCAGGGATGAAGTATTTTTTTTTCTTTCATTTCCTCTTTTCTCCTCACCAAGGTCATCATTACGGAGGAGTGCTCGGGCTGTTACTCAATTGGACCTTTTTTTCGTAATTAATTAGAGAACGGGGGAAACAGGGAAAACTGTGATTTCAGTTTTTATGAAGAAAAAATATTGGAATTTGTTCTTTTACGTAGGGGCATGAATTCCTGTGGGATATAAATTCCTGCAGGGGTGTGAATTCCTGCCTGGACATGAATTCCTATCCTGCAGATGCATGAATTCCTGTCGGATATAAATTCCTGCAGGTGCGTAAATTCCTGTCTGGGCAAGAGTTCATTTCGTGACATGAATTCCTGTCCGGACATGGATTTTAGGGCTTCATCATCTATGAATTCTTGCAGATGAATTCCTGTCCGGCCATTAATTACCATCTGGATGTGAATTCCTGTCCAGACATGAATTCATTTCGGGACAGGAATTCCTTAACGTGGACATAAATTCCAAAAATAATGAAAATTAAGGGAAAAAATCGCCACAAACTTTAATTCCCCTGAATTGAAAACTATTAATCTGTCATCTAACGGCACAAGCAGGTGAAAAATGTATCTCTCACTCCTATTCATAATCAAATAAATATTTTTTCTCGTTGCAATCAGAGAACTGGAGCAAATGCACTCATGCGAAGTGGCTGGAGTGACCCTGAGATACTCAATGAACAAAAAGTAGCCAATCTTGTGAATGAAAAAAACTCTATTAAATCGATTCTGCTGGCACAACATGGACACGTCCTTGATTTCAACTTTCAATGGCCAGTTGCGCTCGGTGGCATCGAATGGCACGACAAATCTTCCCTCCCCCTCACTCCCGCTCACAATCTCAACGTACATATCCGTCTCGCCACTTGTACGACAAAAAACCGCCCGCATCTCAATCACGAAACCAATGCCCCACCATCTCTCCTTGTTTCTCCACTCGTCTGCCTCGTTTTATATGGTGTGGAACTCTCCCACTGGTTCCCCTGCCCCCC